TTAAAGACAGACCTTGGGAATGGAACTTGTTCTTAAACTGGGGACTACCTGCAGTGGTCCCGAGAAAAGCATTGATGTACTTTTACACCCTGAGTCTGGAAATCTCTCTCTCTCTCTCAAAATATAAAAATAATCAGGTGAAAGAACCACAAAAGGGAAGGCAAAGGGAGGGGAAGAGCTAAGCGCCACTGACACACACAGACTCTTTCTCTTTTTGTTCATGCTGCTTCTCAATAACATTTGGGTTAGGACATTAACAGACTTACAGGCGTTTCATAGATGCTGAGAGTATCGGATGTCATCCGGGCAAAGAATTTGCCATCGTGACTCCACCTGAGCAAGAAGAATTTCAAGGGCTTAGTGGGGTGTTATTTCCCAGTAGTCAAAGTGCAGCACCAATCATTTTTAGTCATCTACCAACTTACTTAAAAATGGGCCAGTGGGCGGAACTCTCACAGTGGAATCCTCGCTTCTTCTGTCCAGTTAGGATATCCCAAATAATGATGGCTTGAGGATCGTCCTGTGTGTCCATCAGGGGACTGAAAGTTACCAGGTACCTTCACAAAGACAACAAGATGGGTTGCAGGAATATAAAAGCTGTGATCCATTCAATATCAACTTTAGTAAGCAAGAATCACCTTCCCTGGCCTGGAATACATCTTATACAAGGAAAAAATATATGTCAAAGCTTCAAGGTTAGGCAGAGTTTATAATTCTGCACGTACAGCTCACAGCACAGTCAAGGGTTGAACTGATTTTCCAGTCCAAAGGCAGGCTTGATAATTTACCAGATACAATCCATAATTTTTTTAAAAAAAGCTTAGTTATGAAGTCTGCTTAAGGTTACTTCAAACAACCAAGAGTCAGCACCAAAGAGAAGTTTTTCATTCAGAAAACACAACACCCAAGAGCGTTAACAAAACTCTAGCCAGCTTCATAGTTATTTACAACACTTTCAGGAAGCTGCCCAAAATCTCAGCACCCAAAAATGTGCAATATAGAAAAACGAGCAATAGAGGATATAGAAGTTAAGCATCTACAGATTGCGCAGAGCAGACTGGAGGAATTCCAAATGTCACAGTATAGATGTTGCTGTGACCAGGACATCGTCACCTCAATGTCATCATAACCATAGCTAAAGAATCAAGGCAAGAGGCCCTCGGGGTTTCAAGGGACAACTGCACATGAGCAGAGAACCAGGAGACTGCTGCTGGGTAGGGACCATAAAGAGATTCTTTAGAGCAAGCCGGTGTCAGTTACGATAGATCTGGGAAGCCAACTGTAAGAACGCAGAAGAAAAGCAGGACCACTGCTGTGAGCAGGTAAAATCAACAACGCAGTCTCCCTATTTAGAGAATACTGGGAAGCCGTATTTGTCTGTCAGAAAAGGCCAAGCCCAGCCTGTCCCCCGGGTGCTTAGCTTATAACTCTTCTAAACAGATACTGTACGTTTAAAAAAAGAACAAAACCAAGCTTTTCTAGATTAGGTTAGCCTTGCTGACTCTTTAACCCTTTTAGTTTAATGCAGTTTATTTGTATTTACTTGAATTGTATTTCATGTAAATCGGACTGTATTTACATCACTTCATTGGAGTGGTACCCAAGCACCTCTAACAAGCAGGACATTTTAATGAAATCCAATATTACATACTCCAGCATTTTGCAATCCAGCAACACACGTAGCAGCAAGCAAGGGTGCTAAGTCTTCTGAAGCACCGACAGCTAGCTAATTTTCAGGAATACCTTTCACAAGGTGAGAAGTCAATGAGCTGCACCCCCTGGTGGCTGAACCTCTGAATCTGTTTGAATTTCTCTCCACCCCACAGAGCAATGCCCCTCTGATGGAACGTAGCCAGATAGGTGCCCTTTGGAGACCAGCGCACATAGGTTTCTGTCCATCGCTGCAGGAGGAGAAACATACATTAATTGGGTCATGTTGCATTTGAATACTCAAGTATATGAACATTTTAGTTCCAAAACTTTGCATGGGATTTAAAAATTCCATTTTAACCAGAAGGGCACCAAACTGCAGCCAATCATTCACTGGAACTTCCCTCACCACAGCTAGCATATTAATTTTGCAGGTAATCTGCTAAATTAGTAGAAAAAGAGGATATCAAATTCAAAACAAACATGATCAGCTAAGCATGATCTGTTTTATTTTGGCCAAGCAGAAAGTTCCTTAAATCTTGTGAATGAAGACAATCTAACATCAGCCAATCTTTGCACTTTTGTCGCACAGTTGTTCATTCTAAAAATGTGAACTTCATGCTCACGCAGTGATGAAACACATTTTCATTGGCAGAACCCACTTATAACTGATGACATTTGTTGCTCAGTTTAATAGCAATTATGTTCCTGGAATAGTTATGTGCCTCGACTATTTAAATCATTTAATTTAATTACAGACTTGGTATTCTTTCTTTCTTATAGCCACTACCGCACAAACTGTTATCAGAAAAATCCGCCAAAGGCACTCACAGCTCTCTCCTCAATTGTGACAGGATCCTTAACATCATTCCAGTATATAGAAGTTCGATCTCCGGATTCAAAAATTACACTATACTGATCTCTACAGTCTGGGTCCTCCAACCAGTAGCGCAAATTCCCCTAGAAAATAATCAAAAGGGAAAAATGTGAAGAAAGAGCCTGCAAAAAATAGAGAATGAGGATTCCATTATAAAAGAAAAAAATATCCTGCCAGATTAGTAACTGTGTCCCCCATGACACACACTTTTATTATAGCAAACCACGTATCATCTTGCCATACGGCAAAATAAATTTAAATTGTGGTGCTGATGTTTATATTTGGACATCAACAATTCAGACAAAACCTGGCAGATTCGACCACACACCAGCAAACAGCAACTAAATTAATCTTCTCACTCGGGCACCTTGCAGCTTTTTGCATTTTCAGAGGTTTCGGTGTTATGCATACAAATTATTGAGCTCACATCCCTTGCTGAAAATTCACTTTTTAAAAAATGAGATGTGCCTCACAGGAACCATCAGAATCAGCACATGCAACAGCAAGCCGCACACTGGTGATCACTGGCTTCAAGCAGCTCTTGATGGGAACACTCATCACATTTTTCTTTGCCTGTTCAGCTAGGAACATCAAGTCTGGGGGCTTCTGGAGCGATCGCTACATTCCATTCAGACTTCTGAATACTTACCAGATCTTTAAATGGCTGTTTCTCTGGAATTTCCCACTCATCACTGATTGTCATGTATCTGAAAGCGCAATAACATCAGTCAAGTACACTTGCATGTATCTTTAGGGACGTATCGTGCATAAAACTCTACTCACTTGTCAAAGTCAGTGAAAAGATTGACCCTGAAAGTGTGCTGTTTGTCCAGCTTGTAACCATCTGTGTTTTTTACAGCATCCAGAGCATGAGTGGGAGACATGTACTCCAAGAAGATATACCTGGAGCAAAACACAACCAATTGATTTATTTCCTACATTTATATTCCACCTTTTGAAGCATGCATATTATCTTATTTTTTCCTACAACAACCACACTGTGAGGTAGCTGGGCTGAGAGGGGATCATCCAAAATTACTCAGTGAGTTTCCATGGCTGAGGTAGACTTGAACCTGGGTTTCCTCAGTTCTAGCCCAGCACTTTAAGTGCTGCACTAGGTTGGTTCTGAGTTCTAATTTGTTGCAAACTGACAACTTCAGCTGGGGTCCTCTTCCACCTCAAAAGCGAGATAGGAAATGAAGGGCGTAAGGATTTTGGATTCAGCCCAACCTCAACAGTAACACCAGCCACATTGACTTAATATAACACCAATATCCCCTTCCCATCCAACTGTCCATATGTTACTATAACCAAGGACATGCAATGAGTGAGTAAAAGCTGTAGTTCTGCTTGGCAAGACACCCTCCTTTATGATTGGCACAAGCCACTTCAAGGGACGAAGAACTTGCATTTTTCCATTCACATTTTAAGTGACAACAATGGCAATAACAAAGAACCAAACAACGATTCAGACTGCTTGCTACCTGTACAAAAAGACTAGACCAGAAGGGAAAATGAATGAGATGGAAGTTGGATGAGGGATCTATTTCAGAATGCTAGAATCAAGAATAGAAATTTTAACAAGAATTTCAAAATATTACACCTGGGAAGCAGGAAAGGGAAAACTGCTTTACTGCATTAACAGTAAATCTAATTCTAATGTGTGCATTTCTGCCAAGGAATGTGCCTTGCTAGTAAGCTGACCACATGAAATTTCAACCCTGCTCCCGGACAGCAAGCCATGGGGTTCTCATTCTTTGACCTTTTCCAGATACCATGTTCATCGTGAGAGAAGCTCCAATGAGCACAGCAAGCAACCAGCTTTCTGATTTTTAACATGCCTTGCGTGCCACCCAGTGTGCTCTCCTCCCCACCAATCTTTTGCACAGGAAAAGTTGCCTGACAGTTTCCTTGGCTACTGCTGGAGGGGGGTACCTTAAAGCCCTTTATACAACAGAGCTTAAGGTGGGTGCCTTTGAAGCAGGAGAATGTGGTGGGTCAGCTTGGACATGTGCACTGGAGATGCACAAGTGCACCAGCCACCCAACTATTCTGGGTGGGAAGAGCAGGGTTTGCTTCTTGATGGAGACTTGGCCACTACAAACTTGGCTACAAAAAAGACATGAAAAATGTACATACCGCCACATAAGCACTCACCCTTTAGTCTGGCCATCAGCTTCTGGGTAAAATTCATTGGTAATCTTCCCAAACTTTGAGAAAAACTTATGGATAACATTCTTCAGTTTCTCAAGACGGTCTGGTCCAACCTGGGGGACATTATCCACCACAATCACAGAATCAATTCCATCTGCTTCCTGAGGATGCTCTTGGAGAATATCTCCGAGTAATTCTGCAGACAGTGAAACAGAGACCGATGAGAAAGATCTGGTGAAGGAAAGAGGCTGCTAAGACCATGGCTGCATTTATAAGATAAAGTCAATCATGTACATTAGGTTTGTTAAGCCACCTGAAAGCAAGCAGAAAAGAATGATGCAAAGCCCACGTGGAATCAGCCTTCCGTATGTTTCCACAAGGTAAATACTGAGCATACTAGATAATTTCATACATGCTTCCCTGAACAAATTACCTAAATTACTGTGTAACTAGCCCAACTTCATATTTTCCTTGCAGGAAGGTTATTTAGAGGGTCTGTATCATTTGACTTATCTACAGGCCAGTGGTAATTGCTCTGAAATGAACCACTGAACTAATTATCCCCCATAGCATTGTGCCTTGACTGTCTTTTCTTCAGTTTCTTTCAGGCCTAGCAGCCACCATAGCACCGAGCAGTTCTCCCCTCTTCTATTTGCATTACTTTCCATGTTCTAAGGCTATTTGCATTACTTTCTATGTTCTAAATCTAAAAAACTTCAAAACTCCCAAACTGTCATCAAGTTGTTTCCTGTGTTAAATGCTTTGGATACTATGGCATCAATATAATGAATCAGAAAACCATGTTCAAATATTTTAGTCATAACAAGGTCTCTTTGCTTTTAAAAATGCATTTTAATCTACTTATGTGCCACAGAATATTGTCACGCATATATTTCACTCCCCCTCCCTTAAAATCAGCTATACCTTCACAAGACGTTTTTGGATTATAAGATGCTAATTTATAAAGCATGCACAAATGTGGGTACTGAACATTATTTCTAACAATAAGCAAGAATTGGACAAAATGTTCAAGTGCCTACTAGGGCATCTTGCCTGATTGCTCACATGGTTCCTCCAGTTAGTTTGGTACTCAACTCATGATAGTCATAGTCAGAAATAGAAGCTTCTGCTTTTCAAAGTAATCTTGGCTGATTAACTGTGATCTCTTTGTTCTCCTCTGTGGTTAAAATAACTCATCATAAAAGCATCAGATTCTAATCTGGGATTCCTGGAGCCAAGTCTTATCCCAATCTCAACAGCGTCTCTAGGTCTGTGTCCCTAAAGTGGCACAAAGAAGTACTTTGACAACTCTGGAAGGGCTCCTCCTTACATCAAACAGAACCCACACCTGCGTAAACTGACCCCTGGAAACCCAACAGATCTGAATTCCACAGCTCTGGATCTCCTTTAACTCAAACTACAGGTTAGGTTACTACCACAACCTTCATGCTGATTTTAAACAAATTTTCTTTTTAAAAAAGGGAAATTTGTTTCTGAATAAGCTTAAGATAATACTGCAAGGTTTTTTAAAAAATGGAGACCTATTCATAGTTCTCAGGATTGCCCAACAACTGGCACAGCTTCTGTTAGAAGGATTCACGCTTCTCCATATGCACTAATAAGTAAAAACACGGCTGCTTGAAACTGACAACAGCTTTTCAATCACATTCTCTCAATATTACACAGATGTTACGAATACAGTCACACACAAACAACTGCTTCCCTTTTTCCTCAGGTGTGCTCCCCCATCAAATGTTAACTTCCTCAGGAAAAGGGGCATCTTATTCCAGACCCCGTGAAATGCAATACACGCTGATGCCAACAGATGAAAGTGAGAGATGCAATGTCAGCCGAACGCTCAGTGCCTTCCACAGCATGAAGCTTGCTGTTCTTTGCCTGATGCCACCAAACAATCGAGATGCCAGTTTTTAAACAGCTGTTTGCTTTGGGGCTCCTGGAGAGTAAGGATGATCTCCAGGGAAGCAGGTGAGGAACTGGGATGCAATCCAACCCCAAACCACCCACCACTCCCAGACCCCCACGGTCCCAGGATCACCCAAGTTGATCCCTGATGGGGCTACCCCCTGCCCAGCTGGGAATCCTGGGACCTGCAGTCCAACCCATCTGGACAGCCCCTGACTGGGAAGTGAGGTGCAAAGGGTTCCTGAGCCTTTTCTTCCTGGCTCCCCTGGCAACTCCCCAGGCAGATCCGCAACGGACACCCGCCCATGCTGGGCGCTCAGACCAGGAGACGCAGCCGGGGCAGGAAGGGCAGCTGCAGGGCCCGGAGAAACATCCAGAGGGCAGGAAAGGCGAATCTACTCTCTTCCCCCCCCCGCCCAGGGATCTCTTTTTCTCGCGCGCGCCGTTTTCCTCCTCCGCCCCCGCGCACCTTCCTCATCGATGTCGTCCACGAAGCCCTCGGGGTCGCTGAAGGAGAGCTCGTCCTCGTCCGCCCCGGGAGGCGGCGGCGGAGGCGGCGGCGACTGGGGCTGCTCTGGCTCCTGCTCCTGCTCGGGCTGCTGCTCCTGCTGCTGCTCCTCGGATCCTTCCTCGTCCTCCTCCTCGGGCTTTTCCTCCGAGT